CCATGGGTGTTTTAGAAAATATTTGTTTAACCGTTGTAGGGTTAATGTTCAGCATAAACTGTTTGCGTGCGAACGATGGCAGATCTTTAGGGAACATTCCTTATTGAAGGCGGCAAGGACTTACCCACATTTATAATATACTTAGTTGAAGCGAGGTATCATAACCTGTAAAGAGATAGAAGAGGGACAAAGAGCGACATGAGAGAGATGATAAGGTAGAAGAAGAGAGACATGATAGAGATGATAAGATAAATCTAGACACCCTTTGCACTGAAGCAATTCGAGAGCGGATTTCGATGTAAAGTGGTAGTTGGAGGAGGTTTTTTTTAGCTGGTAGGAATCCGGTACTATCTTACTTTGGGTGTCTGATGTAAGATTTTTTCCCTCCTCAACGAAAAAAACAGTGGTAGAAGTAAAGTGTTTTGGTATATTGTGGTGAATTAGTGTCCCATTTTGCTGTTGTAATACCAAAGGTTTCACCCCCAACTGTTATTTTTCTGTAAGCTAAAATATAAGATCGACTATAAAAATCGTCATGTTTCTAGTCCGACTCTGTCCTCGCTAGAAATAAGGTAGTTGCGGGCCTAAACGCGGGCCCCGATGTCCCGCGGAGGCTCTAATCAACGGCGCTCTTTTAATTAAACATCCCCATTCACGTCCGATTAATATAAATTACTTGGTGGGACGCGCAGAGCGGCCACCACAGGTAACAGGTGTGGCGTGGCCGGTGTAAGGTTGCGCATCGGCGATACAAATGAAACGAACTTCTATTGTCGAAGTTTGCACGATTTTGATGAGCTTCAGATGAAAGACCGGCAGGTCTAATGGACATGTTGTACGGCAAGTTTGAAGAAGATGTTTGTTATCTTTTTAAATAGCCTCTAAAAGTAAAAAAATATATCTTTTTTGCTGAATGTAGTATAAATAAATGTTTGGTTATTGATGGTATCCAGTGTTCATTAAGAAAATTTACTGGAAAGGCAAGTAAATATTGTTTCGCAGTAAGGGTAATAATGGAGGATCACATGTAGACTCAGTAAAAGCGTTACACAGTGTTGTGTACTTTGAACCATACTCTTTAAATATATCTACATGAGGAATAACCATGCGGAGAGCTCTGGAAGGCTGGGATGGAGATATCATAAGAGGAGCTAAATCAACAATTGCGACCAGTAAAGATTTAGATGCAGAATACTATGCAAAACCATATGCAAAACATGAAAAGTCCGCTAAATAATTTATTTTGTTATTTTCAATGCTATTCCTTAAAGGGGGTTAATCACTACGACCTTGAATATCTAGTGTGTTACCCTTTCTTGAGTAATAATGAGTTATAACTCATCATACAGCCTTAGGGCTTTGACAAAAGCTAGTATCTGAGACAGCTCCACAGAGGCCAGCTCTCCATCCTCGATATCAGTCGTACCAAACTTTATGACACAAATTGTTGTCATCTCAGCGCGCTCAGTGATGAGATCATCTGGTGTTTCCCCATTTTCCCCACAAAATCTGCATTCGCCGTTGTTTTTCAGCTTCAACCTGCTGTGGTGTTTATTGAGGAGACAGTGTCCTGTTTTTACTTGAATCAAAGAAAATGTTTGATTTTTCTCGGTCGTAAGTTCTGAGGAATTTTTTCGAGTGTCTTAGACCGTTGGAGGACTCCCATTCCAGGTTACGGATGGAGTCTTCCAGATTCTTTAGTCCCGTTTTAACCCTTCGAGACAAGGCTTCCCCGAAAAAAAAAATGTCGTAAGGTTGGGAGTTTTTGCAATGCCCATAGTTGATGTCGTGTATACACGACAGCCGTCCCCAAAGCACTTTTTTTTCTACGTACCGACAGCCGTCTGGAAAGGGTTAAATTGGAAAGCAGAACGGTTCTGGTCCAGTTAATGGAATGTTCGCTCCTTCTTTTGCCAGATCGTTTGCTTTTCATTGTCCTCTATCCCTTGATGAGCGGGTATCCAGAGTAAGAGGACTTTTTTAATTTTAATTTGTTCAGCTTCTCTAGGCATTCTTTGAGAAACTTCGAACTGATGGTTACTGAGTTGTTCGCTTTTAGAGCTGCTTGACTATCGGATAAGATGGCTATTTCCTGTTTTCGATAGTTCCTATCTAAGATAAATTGTACGCATCTCTCGATAGCGTAGATTTCTGTCTGAGGATACTGGGGTAGGAGACCATTGGTTCGGAGTATTTAGTTTTCGGCCCAAATACCCCTATCCTTGTCCATGCTTTGGTTTTGGAAGCATCAGTAGGTATACCACGTTATGGTATCGTCCGTTACATGCTGAGCAAACCTGATTATAAGAGATTAAAAATACGACCAGGACAAGACAATTAAAACATTACACGATCAAATCTATTTTTTCAAGGCTCCTTGATTAAAAATTAGTGTTTTTAAGATAACCATGACACTCTAAATTGAAATTTAAAATATTTTTTTTTAAGTGAGACAAATGATATGCCATTCTATTCAGAATATCATTATCTGTCGAATAAAGTAAAAAAATTCTAAGAGTGTCATTTAAAAATCAAAAGTTGTAGATATTCCTGTCAAATATGAAGTGAACGAAAACAGTTGAATAGGTATGTAAATCAATCCTAATATATGTCATATACGAACATACCAAATCTAGATTATTTCTAAAAAAAAATAAAAAAGTTATAGGTTTTTTGAGACCCACTCGGTATACATATAAGCAAATTGCCTTCAGGGAACGCCAGCATTGGTACGTTTTATAAATGGCTGGCAATATTTTGAAAAATTCCACACTTCGATTGCAAAATATGATACTATTATCTGCTATAAAAACGGCTTCTATAGCCTTGCAACAATTGAAAGAAAATTTAGTAGGTATATTAAAATTAGTTAAAATTTTTCAATAATCTACAATTAGTAATGATAAATTAGATCATCCTATGCTGCTAAAAAGCGAAAAAGGTCTGACTGCTAAAATTGATCATTCAAGATTGGTTGAAAGATGGGCTACTCTAAAAGAAAGAAGAGTGTAATTGCTGAACACTGATGCCTCGATGAATTAACAGGAATGGCTTAATATTAAAATGACTTCGACTATTTAAAATAAGTTGGGAAGAGGCCGGAGTTGGGAAATTGAACAGGTCAGCACTAGGGTTTCCAATTTTCGGGATCGGGCTAGATATATCAAAAATAAAATGAGAAAACAACTTTACTAAAATAGACAAAACAAAGTAACATTCATATTTAGTATATAAGTAAAAAAATACAATTCTCGTTGCAAAAAAAAATAAAATATAAACACAAAAATAGACGGTTTAGTATAAATATGATATTTGAAAAAGTGTATAAAGTCAAATCATTTTAGACTGGACTTTTAATTTTTTCGAGATTTTCGGGATCCCGGGATTTAATATCGGGACTTCTGGATAAACATACACCGCGATCCCGGGATCCCGGTTTGGAAGCCCTAGTCAGCACCCATCACAATACAAGTACTCGCGCTACGTCTCTGTATAGCGAACAATTATAACATATTTAGTAATCCAAGTATGAAAATTTTCACGATTTTATTTTACATTGTTATAAAAATAATCATACAATTATTATATTCGATTAAATACTTTTTGATATTGCTCAATTTCTTTCTAGATGTAGCTTTTTTAAATAAATAATAAATAAATAAAAATATTTATTTCAAAAATGATCTAAATATGTACAATAAAATTACAAATATATAGACATATTGAAATATTGTCAGCGGTGAAGAGACTTTTATATTAAGAATTCATTGATTGAGTAGGGTTCCAATTCAATTAAGAGTTTTTTCAACGATTTCTTATAGGTTTCTTGACTTTCGATTGCTCTTATGTCTTCAGGGAGGCTATTGTAAAACTTTACAAACATGTATACTGGATTTTTTTCAGTCAGGGTGAGACGATGTGAGGGGAACTTGGCATCACTGGACCTTGTTTGGTATTCATGAGATTTTTCCATTTCAAATAGGGACTTATGTTTGAAGATGAATATTAAACACTCATATATATAAAGAGCTGGAAGCGTCATAATTCCGAAGGATTTAAAGTGTCCTCGACAGCTTTCTCTGTACTGAAGTTTCTTTATAAGTCTTATAATTCTTTTCTGAATCACAAAAATTTTTGCAGTTTCTGAATTTGATCCCCATAGAATAATTCCATATCTCAGCAGTGCCTCAAAATTTCCACAGTATAGTGTTTTCATTGAGTCTGGGTTCACATAACTTGACACAACTCTCAGATCGTAGGAAATTGTGCCCAAGTCTCAAGCATAGCTTATAAATATGTTGGGTCCACTTTAAGTGCTCGTCTACCAAGAAATTTGCATTCACCACCAAGGCTGACATCCATTTCTCCAATTTTCAAATTGCTCGGTAATTCAATTTTCTTCTGTTGTGTTCGAAAAATTAGTGTATTAGTTTTTTCTTTATTTAGCATTAGTCTATTTGCATCAAACCATTCCTCTACTCTTATGAAAGCCTTGCTGCCATTCTCCTTCAGAATATCTTGTGTTGTTCCGTGAGTAAGTATATTAGTGTCATCTGCATAGCATGTAAGGCTAAAATTTGCATTTCTTGTTGTTTGACTAATATCGTTTAAGTAGATGATAAAAAGTAGTGGCCCAATGATACTGCCTTGAGGTATACCAATATTCAATTTTTGTATACTGGACTTACTAATCTTTTCGTCTTTTCTCACAATAACTTGTTGTTCTCTATTTGTCAAGTATGATGTAATCCATTTGAGTGCTGGACCTCTTATTCCATATTTTTCGAGTTTTATTAGTAGTAAATGGTGGTCTAAAGAGTCATATGCTTTTGATAAATCAAGAAATATACCCACTGCCAGATCTTTATTTTCCAGATGTTGTATTATTGATGTAGTGAAATCGAACAATGCAGTAATGGTACCTTTCTCCTTCAAATACCCATGTTGTATATTCTGAAACAGTTTACAACTATTCATGAAAGTTAATATTCTGTTTGCAACTATTGTTTCAAATACTTTTGAAAAGCTGGCAGTAAGCTAATTGGTCTATAATTATTCAAATCAGAGTGATCTCCTTTTTTGTAGATTGGTTTAATAAATGCCAACTTCAGCCTGTCTGGGAAGATCCCATATTTTAGCGAATTGTTAATGATATAGCACAAGATATCATCAACATATTTCAAACAGAATTTTACTATAGATGTTGGAACCTCGTCCACACCGCTGCTATGTTTATTTTTTAGACTTTGACCAATTTTTTGAATTTCCTCTATATTCACAGATTTCAGTCGCATTGACTCATTGTTCTCACTTATGTTACAGATGAATGGTACTTTCCTAATACTGGACAATATATTTGGCACAACACTGATTAAGTGATTGTTGAATTCATTTGCTAGAACTAGTGGGTCTTGATCTATAAAACAATCATCCTTTGGGGAATTTTTACCAGTTGTTTCCTTGCAGATTGACCATAAACACTTCATTTTGTTATCAGATGATTTCACTCTTGCGTCATACTTGTTAGCTTTTTCCTTAACTAATAATCTGTCATATTCTTTCTTTGTGGCTCTGTAAATATCTTTATATTGATCGTTATATCTTGATAGCATTAGTAGTGTGTCTAATCTCTCTTTGCATTCTGTTATTTCCTTACTTTTGTATATTGATGTTTTCTTTCTTGTTTTATACACAGGTTTAAGTGGAAAGTGTTGATCAAAAATGCGGTGAAAGTATTGCCAAAAATTTTCCATTGTTCATTGACATCAGATGTTGGTATCTGATATATTTCCTCCCAAGTTTCTTCCTTTAGTGTGTCCGCAAATTGTTTTTTGTTTTCCTCTCTGAAAGTTCTTTTGAAGTTTTGATAACCTATTTCTTTTTTAATATGGATTGTAACTTGTTGAGCAGTGTGGTCTGATATATGGTTGATTAGCACACAAGCTTCATAATCTTCCTTATTTGTAAAGATGTTGTCAATACAACTACCTCCAGTGTTTGTAATTCTAGTATTTTCTAAAATTGTTCCTTTTAAATTGAAAGAACACATTATGGACAGAACATCTAGTGCATTGCTGCTTTCTTCATTGAAATTTATGTTAAAATCACCTGCTAGAAATATGGTTTTATTTTCAGTTGTTATGTTTAACAGTAATTGTTCTATTTTTTCCAGAAACACATCCATATTTCCACTTGGAGGCCTATAAATTGAGGCAATTATAAATTTTTCATCTCCAATTTTGCAGTCCATTACTGCACATTCAAATATACCTTGATCTGATAGTTTTTGAAGAGATTTTCTTTCAAAGCTTGTAATATCTAAATTTTAACTACCCATTTTTGATATATCATTATCTATTTTCTTATAAGGTCATAATATCTCGAAGTACCGCAATTTATTTAGTGTCTAAAGCACGAGCAACATCGGCTTATTCGGTACCATTTCTGGGCGTAACCACGTCAAGATCCATTTCCGGCCGGTCGAGAGACAAGTTTGCAGAATAGTTTCTCACATAAGATGAAATCTATTAAAGCGAATAAAAATATTGGCATGGGCAATTAATATTAAGTAATACTGAGTGTTAATATTCAGTTTATATATTAGCTTTAATTAGATATTAGATAGATGGATGATTGTGTTCTGTATTTTAATATACATTGTTTTGAATGTGGTAGACAATGATTCAGTATTGAAACTAAAAGTATTTCGGATTATTAATAATGATTTCGGAGAATTAATTAGATAAATTAATTACTCTCACATTAATTACTTTGAGGAGAATGCTCTCTCTTTCTTGAATATTCGATATTAAGGGTCTAGGGGAAAAACAGGATAAGCGCTATTTTAATAATTTTACAGGAGGGTACTGAACGGATGGTGTTTCTCAGGTTTTTTTACCGTGCATTTTATATTTTAGAATCAATAAATAGATACACTTCTATATGGTTATGTCATTGCTAGGGTTGCCAACCGTCCTCCGTTCCAGAGGATAGTCCTCTTTTTGATCTCACTGTCCTCTTTTCTCTCACGTATTGAAAAAATCCTCTTTTTTACATATCAAACTCAAAATCTAAAAAATGTTTGTGTATCGTCACAATGCTGTAAAAAATTGTTAATCTGTGTCTTTCGCTACTTCCACTCGTTTGTACAGAAAAGAAGTCGAAGAAATATTTATGTAAAAGAAATATTTGTGGAGGCGATAAACATGTTTATCTATTTTATGTTTACTTATTGTTGGCTCATGTTTTGAAAAAAAAGTTTTGTTGAAAATGGCTTGTTTTATTTTAACAAATTTTGAGTATAAATATTGTTAAGAAAGTAAGAAAGACCATCAATCGCATACCATTGACGTAACTTTTTGGTAAATTCTAGACATTTGGGCGGGGTTTCAAAAAAATGTTTCACCTGTGCCTCTTTTTTACCCTCTCGTCCTTTTTATTTTGAAAGTTGGCAACCCTAGTCACTGCACCATTGCACAAGTTTCAACTGTCGTCAGATTGTACCGAGTCGTGAACTTGATCAAGTGACAAGGTGCCAGGTTTATGCATTTGAATTCAAAAAAGTTATGGTACCGGTTACATTTGTACCGCTTTACAATTTGTACCTCGAATTGTACTTACTCTCCCCTATTGTTGTACTACCCTGTATACTAACGCAGGAATATTTGCAATAAAGAATAAACTTAAATTCAAACGAAAATAAAATATTGAATTCCTAATAATAATTATTATTTACCTTAGACAGAATTCAATTTCTTTTTTACCCGAAGCAGTAAAAACTCACACTTGCTCGTCAATTCAGCTTTGCGTATTTAACAAAATATACCCGATACAATCTAATTAGAGATATATCTAAGGTTAAGTGCACAAACCGGTAGATATAATTGGCAGTTGACTTTGATTTTTTTACTCAAAGTGCCGCGGCTTGCTCTTTGCCAACTATCTACTCATACAGCGGACAGTGGCGGCACGAAGGTTTGGTCAGATTAGACATGCATCGAATTAGACACCCAACTTCTCAGAAATTACACCTAGATTTAAGCGTTAACATTATTAGGCATTTGCATAAAAGTGTGTATTTTGGGTTGTATTCCACAAACTTTGCAGACTATTGAGGAAGCAGAAAATGCACAAATTACAGAAATAAATTGAAAATATATACTTAAAATATTGTGAAAAAAAATGTATAAAACTGAAAAAATGTAATCGAGTTATTTTATTTAATAAAAAACGGTATGTGTTTAAATAATACAAAACAAACAAGAACAAGACACCACATACCAAAAAATATAAAAAAAGAACTATTTCTTACTTACTTCTTATGAAACTTTCCGCATTTATTATTATATTTATCAATATAACTTATGTACAAATACAAATTTGTAATATTCCAGAGGAATAAATAAAACAACATAAATAAAACAAACTATTTATTTAATAATAACACTTACCAAATTTAAACCTCGAAAGTTGATTAATTAACTTTAATCTTAATTTTTTTAAACCAGTACCTTTTGACATTCTTTTTCTGCAGTACTAAAATCCATTATTTATCTATCGCGTGATGTCGATATTTTACAGCTACTCCAGTTTTTAGTATATGTTTAGTATGATCATTCTACCATATACGAGATGCACTTATCTACGACGAGATGGTATACAAACTTTATTGATGGTAGTTTTATTGGTGTATAAGACTTTCTGCCTGGGCAGCAAGTATTAACTATAAACTGTGCTCTGGGGTCAGTTAATTTTACCTCGATTTTTCCTTAAAACAGACGTAACAACAAAAAAAAAGACACAAAACACACGTAACAACACGAATCAAAATGCATCATCTTCCAAAAATGCAGGGTATTTGACATAATTTGACACAAAATTATAACCTACAATTTGGCAAGACTTTGACTAGCCTCAAAATTCTAAAGGCGAGTTCATACGCATCGGCGTCCATTTGTCGTTCATCGTTCCGTCAAACCAATAAAATTGAAATACGATCTGTCATTTTTGAAATAAACCAATAAAACTGGTTAAAAACATCAACAGACAAGACGGATTTATATTTAAACCCCATCCATAGTTAACTTAAAAATTATTAGAAACTTTTTTTAGTAAAATAAATAGATTGGTATGGGACGTCATCTGCTTTTCTTGTGTCATCGTCTGTCGAAATCTTACCTGAGAAAAAAAAACAGAGTATAACATTTATATTACAAGAGCATTATATGTCACTTTTTCAAACATTTCCCTCAAATTCTCCAATTTAATAGCTGTTAGTAAGAAGTTTCACTATATTCAAATATGGCGCGCCTATGTATAAAAAAAGTTGTGTGTGCAATATTGCACACACAACTTTTTTTTATTTTTCAGTTAAAATTTTATGCAATAGTCGGAAAACCACTATTTGTAAAGAATTAAAAAAAAATAATTTGAACAAATAAGCAATTTTTTTAATATATAGGTAAATAACCTAAACGTGAAAAAAACACATGCTTGGTTTTGGTTATGCGAATGTCTTGCACTAGTCGGTCTTGGTCTTTTAGTGCTATAAGACCAAAACCTCAATTCATGACTAGTCTCTTCCATCACTATAGATAAAATAAAATTGAATATACATTTGATATTGTATTCTAAAATACTTGTTTGGAAAAAATTCCATATGGAATAAGATAAAATGCTAGTACCGCTACTGAATGGAGATATATACGGAAGCCTGAATGTATTGAAGAAAAAGAGGGAATCTGGGCAAAATGTATAATTTCATCTTATTAAAATAAGTTAAACTTATTAATTTTGTACCGAGTCTGTATCGGTACCTATCATTAAATAGTCCATTCGGCTCGTTAGAGATAATTAGATAACATGTGTTTATTTATTTATCTATCTGTCGAAAATATTAATATTCAAATATTTGTAACAAACAAAAAAGAAGAATGCACCTTGAACATAACTTCACTAAACATTCCGATTTGTTTTTGTTTAACCATGTTTACAGGTTTGTGGTCAATAACTTCTAGAAACGAAGCATAGAAATGCAGACTAGACCAGAAAATTATTTTTAAAAATAACAAATTGTTTAAATATATTTTCGTTTTTATATTTATTATAATATATATTCAAAATAGTTTTTTTTCTGAAGGAAACTGCAGGTTGCACAACGTTCAGTGGAACGAAATATACTGGGAATAACCAAGAGAGACCGGAAAAGGGGAATAGATTGGATACGACAAAAGATCCAGGTAATAGAAGTCATCCACAGAGTTAACTGCATCAAATGACATTGTGCAGGACGCCTGGTAAGAAGAACGGACAACAGATGGACCACAAAAATTGCAGCTATATAATAGACCATGATATTAGGAAATTAGCAGGGTCCAGCTTTGATAGCTTTTCTGTCTTTACGTTTCAGATCTGTTGTAATTTTTGGCTAGTGTTCCACTGTGAACTATTTCACCTACTTCTGTTTGGTCACTTTTGCCACAATTTACCACGATTTTTTGGCCATCCACTAATTTGTGGACATTTTTGAATTAGCTTTCGCATTACCGCAGAAAAGTTCTGGACCCATGAATGGTATTATTTATGTTTATGAATGGATTTTTTTTAAATCACGTTTATGGGCTTTGTAGCGTATGATCGGGCAGATTGCCAAGATCATAGCTCTTTTAACACATATCGTCGAACAATATGATACGTCTCCAAAATTGCGGCCTTCTGCATAAAACATGCCAGTTCCTGTTCTTGACCAAGGGTTGCGATGCTTCGTGTTAACCTTTTCTCTATCAGACCTGTTGATGATATAATAAATGGGAGTACTTCGATGCTGTCCAGTTGGTCTTGTTTCTTTTTAACTCATATGACAAATCCTGGAATTTCATAATTTTTTCTAGGTAGGTCTCTCCAATGTTTTCATTTAGAGGAACAGCATAGTCAACGACAAATGCACTTCGAGTAGCCTTATTAATAATCAGTATATCAGGTTTATTGTGTGGAATTTATTGATCTGTTAATATTAAGGTATCCTAATACTTTAAATACTCCATTCTCAAGTTCTGACTGTGGCTGATAGTTATAGTATCGCTCGCTCAGTACTTACACTGAGTCTATTTTTGTTGCAACATTTTTGATGGATGATTTTCGCAATACTATTATGTCTGTGTACGTACTCTGTGTACACAGACATAATAGTGTACTCTTTTGGTGCAATAACGGAGCAGCCCCCTGTAATATGGTTTAATGTTTCTGACTTTTGACTGCATACTCTACAGAGATCCGTAGGAATATTAAGCTTGAGAATACATCGGGAATAATACCGGCTTGCCACAACCTGATCCTGAATAGCTGATATCATTCCCTTCGTCTCTCTTGTGAGCCAGCCACTGCCTAAGTAAAGCTCGTCTTTGTCTACATCCGCGTCATGGAGTACAGCTGCAAATTTTCCATGGATTGCTTTGCCTTGCCATTCTAGGATACATTGTTCTACAAAATTTTTCTGTGGTAGTTCTTTGTTATTTGAGAGATTAAGTGGTGTATAGCTTTTGTCTGCTAGTATCAGTGCATGATATAAAGGTAAGTTGGTGTTATTGAAATTATTTATTAAATTCAGTTTTTGTTTTAAGTGTTTGGATTCGATGGATAACAGACCTCTACCGCCTTTCATTCTGAAGATATACAATTGAGCTACTGAGAAGTTGAGGTGATGACTCCGGTGCAAGGTAAGAAGGGTTCGAACCTGAATGGTATTATTATTAAGTTCTTATTTTATAAAAAAAAAACTTACTAAACTTAATTTAAATTAGTATGTTTTTAAGAAAAGGCAATACATTTGGAGATTCACTTATTAACGAAGTAGTAGAGAGTAGCTGTAATGAAACGGAATAAAGAAATTCAAATAAAATTAAAATAAAACTTCACAAACTTTTAAATAAAATAATTAATACATCAGTGTTAAACCAGCTAGAATTCAATCCTATTCAATGGTAGCTTATTACTATATGGGCGTAAATCGAGTCTTTTAAAGCGCAACATTCGAGTATCTATTTAATTATGGTGAATTAAAATCGTGCGTGACTACTAAATCCGAACAACGACGACCACAATAACAGCATGAAAAAAAGCTTAATTAACAAAACTTCTATATCGGTTCGTGAGCGGCGAGCACCAAAACGGCATTTTTCTTTTATTTGTAGAAGCATCAATCATTGCGGTGGAGTCTCGCCGGCATGATTCTCCTATTAATAATTATTTTTGGAGATTAATATAACATAGCACTCGAAAAACAGATCCGTAATATTATTTTTATTTATTATTATACATATTATTTATTTTTTGTTATCATATTTTGTGATCGTGGGAAAGACCATGAAAGATAATTTTGGCGAAATCAATATACAGGGTGGTCCTAACTGTATTCCGGAAACTTCGCCAGCATATTCTGTAACTAAAAATAAGTAAAAAGGTTTGTATAAATGTATGTCCAAAAATGTTTAGTTCCGGACATACAGGGTGTAGAAGTTTCAGTTCTATTTCGATTTTTTCCAAATAATTTCTGAAGTTACGTCAATATTTGGATGAAAATTGGTGTCTGGGAGTTTTTTGACATGAGAAATTTGATTTTAGTGTCAATATGACTCCTACTAGTAGAGGGCGCCACCTACATATTTTTTAACTGGGTTGAAGAGTAATAACTTTTCGTCCGTACCTATATAAAACTACTGAGTAAAAACTATACATTTACTACGTGTTTTACGTAAAAAAGATTTATGATTAATTTAAAAAAATAAAAAGTTCCCAAATTTATCTCATTTCATTCAAATAACTATCTACTCAACATGTTTATTTTTCGTCAATAATGACATGTATTGACTATCTCCATTCTAAATATCTTGAAAACACAATTTTTTACGTAAAAAATTACGGAAATGCGTATTTCTTCGCTCAGTAGTTTTATAAAGGTACGGACGAAAAATTATTACTTTTCAAAACAGTTAAAACACATGTAGGTGGCGCCCTTTACAGATACAAGTAAAGTCCCTAGATATATAAAGTACCGCAATTGGTTTGTTCAATGTTATTGGCGCCAAAATGGCGGATTTTTGGGGTATTTCTGGAAAAACTGTAGTGGTAGGACTGTTTAAATGTCACATTTGTCTGAATTTGTCATGTCAAATGTTGAGAAGCTGTCAATTTCAGGATAAAAATATTTATCCACATATTTTAAAATAATTATAAAGCCACTAAAATACTACAAATTTTTAGTTAATAATGTATAGGCGTCGATATCTTTAGTGAAGAAATGTGTATTACACGAAAAGGCCGCCATTTGATGTGTTTTCTAACATCGTCGATATTCAATACACGTTAGGTAGTGGATTGAATTTATTTATGCTCCAGTGAATATTTTTAACAATCTTATTTGTAGTATAACCTATTGGTACATAAAACTTCATTATAGAACAAGACAAGACCACAATAGATCTGAGAAGGTCGCAGTGGGTCAGGCCGAAATCAACCTCTAGAAATCTAATCTAGAACAAGACAAAGACCTTACTTGCAAACTACCATACATATCTTTTAAAAAGGATGCTAAGTGTAAGTGAAATCTCTACGTAATCATTCCCTAAAATGTTTAGTGTAGTTTAGTTTTCAACATTTTGCAGCAAGAAGTTTAGATAAATCTACAATATATTATCATCAGACCAAACGAAGGATAATTATTTAAAAGAATAAGTTATGTTATGATACATATATAGATTTGGATGACATCGCTTCAGGTGGTTTTACCAGTCAGGACTAACAGGGATATTAATCAAAACAATGAAAAAAAGCTCAAATAAATTTGATCCTAATAACAAGAATGTTGTTTATGCATATGCTAACTATATAGTTATTTTCATGGACTTAAATAGATTAGTTTTTATGTATTTATTGATAGTAATTAATATTTTTTGGTTCATATTGTAATTACTAATAAAAAGTAAACAATATAATGTAAGCATGTAAAGTTATATTTAAAAATTTGGTCTTATAGTGTCAGTTATAAATAAAAGTGTGTGATTTAAATTTGATTATTATACATGACATAAAATTGTTAAGATTCATTTGAAGTTTTACATATTGTCGAGGTAAAATTATGCCTACTTAATTTATGTATAACAATAATTACAGTTATTTCAATGTTAAATTTATAGCAGTAAAACTTTTTTATTATAATGATACTTAAACATTATGACACTTGTTGTTTTAAAAATATAACATTAAATTGCAGAGTAAAATATATTTTAATTGTATTATGTGGTAATAACTTGCTTTTATTCAACTAATAATAAATTTGTTGTATAAAAATCACTCCATAACATACAAACCTTAATTATACAGCATACATAAAGAGCTCCTATGCGTTTCAAGCTTCTTTCTAAGTTATTTTTAAATTAAATGCACAATTACATACCTAAAATACCGAAACTACCTGAAGTAATACTAATTGAAACAATCTTTCTATCAATATATTAATATATTTCAAAAATAGCAGGTATGTATCATATCAATTTAATTATTACATTTATTTGTTTCAACCATGGTTCAAAATTTTCTCGTATAAAAGCCGGCTGTCAAATATAAGTTTGTAGCTTATTCATAGTTCCAAAGGCTTTCGTTAAATCATGCTTATTTGTCAAAACTAACTACAGCATAACTGGTATAATAGGGAAAGTTTACTTATGGTATAGGTATCCCATTCTCATCAACAAAGTTTTTCCAATTGTTTCGACTGAATTAAGTACTAAAATTCTAAATGTTATTCCACCTTTATTTCCTCTTACCTATTAACTTACTTCTGTTGGCGTACTTTGCGCTAAAAGGTAACAAAATAAATGCTAATACAAATGAAAAACACTTGTACGGAAACCATTCGTTTATAACCTCTTAACATATATAAGCCTAAAAAATTAAATTTATGAAATTGAATATTAATATACCACCTGATATTACGTTAAAATGAAGGTAAACTGTAGATAATAAACGTAATTCTATTACAATTAATAAATATTTTATTTTACGGCTTGCTTGTCAATGTTGGTCGGCCATATTGGCGCCGGACCGACCAGCTGCTTAAAAAGCCGAAACAGCGAAATGTTGGCCTCATTTTTAAATTTGCCGCTAGTTTTGGCGCCAATATGGCGGTAATTGTGGTACTTTATATATCTAGGGACTTTAATACAAGTCATATTGACATCAAAATCAAATCTGTCGTGCCAAAAAGCTCCCAGATTCCACTTTTCATCGAAATATTGACGTTACTTCAGAAATTATTTGGAAAAAATCAAAATAATGTTGAAATTTCTATACCCTGTATCTTTAAAACTAAGCACTTTAGGACATACCTACATTTATACGAACTTTCTCACTTATTCGTATCTGCAAAATACGCTGTCAAAATTTCCGGAATACAGTTTGGACCACCCTGTATAGACGTTATCTACTAAAAATTGACATAAAACTTAACACTAATCATTAGGGTGGGTCAAAAAAATTGTCTATTTGTTTCACTTTATACTCTGAAAAAAAGTTTGGTAGATACCTCAAAAAATTCTCTCCAAGTATGAGCTCTTAATTTTAATACGAGATATGAATTTTTCTTTCTAGTAATAAGGAAAAAATAGAAAACTGAAAGGCGGAGGACCTTAAAATTAAGAGCTCATACTTGGAGAGAATTTTTCTAAGGTGTCTACCAATGAAGTGAGACCCTAGATCCTCCTTACGTGGATAAGTAAATCACTATGGAAACTGTCCCAAACATATCAACGACTTCCATTTATCTTCTTTTTTTGTTGCACACGCGGTGCTTCTACTCTATCTATCCTTGTCGAGGACCTATCGCCCACGCGCCAAATTTGGACATTAATTTTAAAATTTAATTTGTAAAATGTATATATTTGAACAATAATTGAGTTACGTTGTTATGTTACTGTTACAAAAATTAAATTATATAACAAATAAATCAGTCACTCCGTACGAATATCAATATTCTTAGGAAATCTAACCAACAGAAAAATACTCGAAATGAAAGAGCTAAAATTGGACAAATAAAATACTAGATGGCGCGACAATATCATAATCAGAATATAATTATTGGAAATTTTCAACTTTCGGTTTTGGATCGACGTAGATCGACGGCACGTCTACGGTCTTGAAGCTCGGCAAAATATGCACAGTTGCCAGATTCAAACAGACTTTAATTGGCATTCCATTCTTTTTCTGGTGTATAATAATTTCTTTCTATTCTTCGTTTCTTGTCAGATACACTTATATTAATTTTTCGTTTGGCTTTTAAAATTAGAATAAATTAATAAAAATAAAAAAAAATAAATTAGAAAACATACCTATTCTCTCAAAATACATATTTTTTAATATACACTACTTTATTATGTTAACTAAGAAAATAACTTTAATTACCTTTAAAATTAATAATATACAGGGCGATTGATAGTGATATTTATTAATGCTGAAACGTTAGTAATGAAATATACGTTTAATAATAATGGAAATGATTTATTAAAATGCAGTACAAAGAATGTTAATTGACTAAAAAAAATACTATAATAACAAATTTTTTCTGTTTGCCATGTTATTTATATATACCTAGGTAGATTTTAAAAAGTGACACAGGTACAATTAATAATATATTAGTTCGGCATAAAAGTTGCTGTCACGACATCGTGCAGTAAATTAAAATTCGTAAAATAAATTAAAATTATTAATTAAACAAATCTTTATAAAGAAACACAAACAAGTATATCAAATTTGGGCCCAATCGAACGGCAGGAAATGGTATCGTAATATGGTACTACATTATGGTACCCCTTGATATGCTTCATGGTACCATAATATTACAATGTCATCAAAAATACGCAAGTATAATCAAATATGAGCCCAATCGAACGTCAGGAAGTGGTATCGTAATATGGTACTATATTAATGTACCACTTGATATATGCATCATAGTACCATCATATTACAATGTCACCGAAGATACTTACTATACCAAGTTAAGCCCCATCGAACGCCAGGAAATTGTATCGTATATGGTACTATTATGGTACCTCTTGATATGCTTCATGGTACCATAATATTGCAATGTCATCAAAAATATGCAAGTATATATCAAATATGAGCCCAATAAATAAACGTCAGGAAGTGGTAGCATAATATGGTACTACAGAAGGTACCAATTTATATGCTCCATGGTGCCATCATATTACGATGTTACCGAAAATACGTAGTATATATAGTTTAAGCTCAATCGAAAGCCAGGAAATGGTATCGTAATATGGTACTACATTATGGTACCCCTTGATATGCTTCATGGTACCATAATATTGTAATGTCATCAAAAATACGCAAGTATGTTCAAATATGAGCTCAATCGAACGTCAGGAAGGGGTATCGTAATATGGTACTATATTAAGGTACCACTTTATATGCATCATAGTACCATCATATTACAATGTCACCGAAGACTTACTATACCAAGTATAAGTCCAATCGCACGCCAGGAAATGGTATCGTATATGGTACTATTATGGTACCTCTTGATATGCTTTATGGTACCATAATATTACAATGTCACTGAAGATACGTAATATACCAAGTTTAAGCCCAATCGAACGCCATATATCGTAATATGGTACTATATTACGGTATCACTTGATATGCTTCATGGTACCATAATATTGCAATGTCATGAAAAATACGTCAATGTGTGTGTCGGTGCAAGTATATATCTAATACCGTATGATACCGAAAAAAACGGCGTCCAGTTGGCTGGGAAAAGACGATATATGACAATTCCCATATAAATTTACACATAAAATGACAGCGATTTTCATTTCATAGCCATCGCTAACGCCGTTTTTTCCCGATCATACGGTATGAACACAATCGAACGTCAGGAAGTGGTGTCATAATAGTAGAACAATACTTATTATATTGTCGCCGAATTACAATCAAAATTTAGGATTCAGTTAGAATCAAACGTCAGGAAGTGATTTTAATTCAGCTCGTAAGATTTAACTCCAACTAACATGGCAAGTTAAATACTTAAACGTTTGAAAAAAGAGCTCTAATCTATTTTAATATATTTAAATGATGTAGCAAATTTGAACGTAGGCTTTATCAGGAAGTATTACAATATAAATTACACAATGTCATAAAATTCTTTTAAATTTCGTTTGTAGAAAACTGTTTTCTTTTAAATTTATCGACCTCTGTTATGTAGTAGTGAAACTACCGCATCAAAATATCTGGTTTGGAGACAGGCTTTAAAAGCCTGTCTCCTTTTGAGACCTACGATTTTTTACATGTAACGAGGCTTCTGTTGCGTAGCTAGATATTCTGTGCTAATAGGTAGTAGAGATCCCGAGCTACACAGCTCGGGATCTCTACTACCAGAAATCAACAGAAGAATTAAGTAGGCATGGAGTACTTATGGAAGAAACTGAATCATGTTCAAATTTAGAATGCCGCTTTATCTAAAGAAGAAAACATTCGACCAATGTGTACTCTACTACCAGTCGTGACTTATGCATGCAAAACACGTAAAACGGACATATTAAGGAAACTGTAGGTCGCACAACGCTCAATGGAACGAAATATGCTGGGGGTATCCAAAAGAGACAGTAAAAGAATAGACAAAAGACCCAGGTAATAGATGTCATCCACAAAGTCAAATCCCTCCAATGGCAATGGGCAGGATACCTGGCAAGAACAACAGATGGACCACAAAAATTACAGCATGGTACCCACGAGAAATTAAGAGGCCTGGAGGAAGACCTGAGATGGTACCATGATATTAGATAGTTAGCAGGGATAACTTGGGCCTGCATAGCTAACAATAGACTACAGTGGGCCCAACTACAAAGAGAGTATTTAAATACGTAAGGGAGGCTACACTATAATTAGAAATGGTTGAATAAACTGAGAATGATGATGATTATGATGATTTACCAAACAAAACAAAACAGAAGTGCAAAGAAATATTATTTAAAGAGTTGTATTTGTGATGTGAATTAGTAATCCAATTCGTCTTAATCTCCAAATTTTAATAAAAAATCTGATATAAAAAATATATTTTTCCCTATAATTATTGAACAAACATTGAATGGTTAGTTAGGCAAGAGCATTCCTGCAAGATAACTACGTGAATAATATGAACCCAAGCCCGAGCATTTCGCTCGTTTTGATTCACGGTAGCCATTCGATACTTATCAACAAAACGCGTGAAACAAGAGCCGGACTCGCTCTTATATTATTAACACTGTGTATTATCGGCATTAACCATGCGAACTCTAATGTGTTAAATTCGATTAAGAGACAGATATTGAATTTCTGACGGGTGGGACCTCCCTAGTTGAGATTAAGGTACGTTACAAGGTAAATGTTGGACAGGTCGAGTCAAATACCAGCGATTTTAGTATTCAACAGAAAAGAAATCATTTATTTCGAATATTTTGAAATCGCAGTAAGAAAAAATAATATCCATACGAATAATCTATCCAACGAACCAAAAAATGAAATTAAAAAAGAGTTTGTCTGTGAATTAAAATGACAAACACAACTGTCATTGTCAAAGGTCTTCCCGTTGGACAGGCTATATCTTTATTATATTTGAATAAAAATATTACGGAAGAAGTATAATTCTATTCATGTATTTAAGCATGGTCCTTGATCCATCTCCATCCTTGACAGTTCTGTTTGAAGTTTCAATTGAAATATTTGATCTGATTTGAAATTTTGGGAATTTTTGTGTTTGTGTTTACTGAATTTATTTTTTGTGATTTATTAATTATTCTACAATTATTGGTCTTGTTTAGAGGTAGTAAATGTAGAAGAAAAGTGTGTGTAATTAAAATGACAGACACAACTGTCACCATCAATTTTTACTTCCATGCCCCAGTAACCGTCATATTAGGATACCACCACTTTTATTAGACCCAGTAATCAGCACACAAAAATAAACTGAAAATATTCTTTAAATCTTGATAATCGCCTACAGACAGCAAGTTTAATATCCATACAGATTATTTAATATAAAACATGCATAATTAAACTTAATTTTGTACACTTACTGAACTATCTTAAAAGTCTTAATATACACGTTAATGAACTTGCACAGAATCAA